GATCGCTGGCCAATCAGAGCACACCTTGCTTTTTCAGACCGATGAGCTTTGTAAAAATCGACACGTTTCAGAAAGGCAGGGCATAGAGGAGAAACAATAATGTACAGTATGTGGAAAATAATGTGTTTTTTTAACCTTAAACCGCATAAACACATTTCATTACACCAAATACACAAAATAATGTTCTTTTTAGCAACATCGTATGACCCCTTTAAATGAAAACCCCATCTGTATGCATTATTTTGCATATAATACACAAAAGCACCAAAATTAAGATCTGTATATAATTTTTCCATAAAGCTTTTATGTTGAAAGATAGAAAACAACTCAACAATTTGTTACCAAACAAAAATGTACATTTCTTCAGGTTAATCTATGAAAAAATGTCTGAACAATAGTAACAGAATTAAAAGGATTTCACCCAAAAATGAAAACTGTTGTCATCCACTCAACCTCATGTCATTCCAAACCTGAATGCATGTCTTCTTCTTCCAAACACACACAAAAAAAGATATTTTGAAAAACGCTGGTAGCCAAATAGTTGTATTATATTACATTGACTTCTGCAGGTTTGGAATGACATGAGGGTGAGTAATCGATGACAGAATTTTAATTTTTGGGTGAACTATCCCTTTAACATTGATTTTATTTAATGATTATGATTATTAAATGCATAGACTTGGCAAGTGAATCACAAATAAACACAAATGTGATAAAATCAGACTTTATTATTTTCTTATACAGCCTTCTATTTATTATTAATTATTAATCAAATCAATTAATTTGCCAGTAGGAATTCTAGAACCTTCTATGTTTATGGGATCTCAATTTTAGCGTCATATTGACTGAGCACACAATAATGCAATCAGATCATTACTGTTAGGATGCTTGTTCCACAATATCCCAACTACATATTCTCTCAGTCTCAGGAATGACAGTCCAGTTGGGTGAAGGTGTGCCAGCAGCAAGCCAATTGAAATCATCCACCTCTGTCCAGTTATTCCTGTTTGGATCAAGTCCAGCCACTTTGAAATGATCATGAATCCCTGGATAAGTCCACGTGAATGGGGCAAACCGGACCCCATGACAGTCCTCTATAATTGCCCGGCTGGTCACATGCAGATATATCTGAGTGGCAGTGGTGTTATGGGTACGCAGCTGCTGACAGGGGAATACTAAAGTGCTGTCAGTGCACTGGTCTACAAAAACAGAGCTGGACACTGGCCCGCAGAGGATCTCGCAGCCGCGGACGTTCTTGATGTGCAAAGTGCTCGGACAGCCATAAAGCCTGACTTTACAGTTTGTCAGATGAGATAACAGAACATCTCGTTGCTGGATCTCCTCAGCTTGCTTGATTAAGACTTGATTGTCAGCATTAGAGAATCCACACTGATCTACAAAGACCGCAGCATCCACCACTACAGTACCAGCCGCATCAGATGCAAACTTATCTGTTGTTTGTTGAATCGGTGCAGGCTGCTTACTTGCTCCGGTGTTCCTGGATCTAAAGGCGAATTTCTTTTTAGGCAACACCTCATCTCTTTTCTCAGCAAGAGAGCTCTGGAGATTCTGCAGGGATGCTTGCGCCTGTCTTATTTCATACTGGGTTAGAAACATCATGCTGTCATTGAGAAACTTCAGGAGCTGTTGAATTTTCAAAGTGGCCTCTTCCAGTGTTTTTGCGGCTTTGTCGGGGTCATTATCGTTACAGCTGGAAAGCAGCTCCTCGACTGCTGTCTTCTCAGCATTAAAGGTGGACGTGAAGAAATCGCTCTTTTCTTCCGTCACGGTCTGGCTCTCCTTGACGTTTCTCCGGCGCTCTGCCTCCTCCAGCCTCGCTTGATCCCTTAGTAACACACGTTCGGGAACTTTGACAGCTGTATTTGTTTCTCCATCATCGTTCCTCACATTAACTTCTACTCCCAGTGCCGCCATGTTGTTTCTCAAAACAGGCGTGGTGAACGCACGTTGATCATGTGATGACTCGTCAAAGTGTGCTTATCAATGATTGGACTAAGAATCAGCACCGTTAGTAATGCGGCGTTCTATTGGCGCATTAAATGTTCACGTTCACAATAAACTTATGACCGTTTTCCCATACATAATTTAAATGATGGAGTAAAGTTATTTATTACTTTGTTTAGACTTCTTCTGTCATATTCATATTTAATTAGTTATTGATTTTTAATTGATGTGAAATTTATTATTTTACAGCATGTTTATAAAAACAATTGTGTTGATTTATTTCTTTTAGAATTGCAAGATGACTTGACTGTATTATTGTTATTTTTATTATTATTATTATTATATCCCTCACAGTTTACAGTTTATATTGATTATCTGTTGAATTGTGTACATGGTCAGTGTATGCATTGTAAACAAAAATCAAACCAGCAGGGTTATTATTATATTTTGCATTTTAATTTATATTTCATTTAGTTTTATTTAAGTTTACTCCATTGCTGTTAGTTTCATTTTCATTTTATCATGCTTTTTTTTTTTTTAGATTATTTCGTTTTAGTACTTAAAATTTGTTTTAAAATGACTACAAAGTAACAAAATTTTAGTTCGTTTTGAAGTGATGAAAATGTTTGTCTATAAATTATAGTCGATTTTTATTTTAGTTTTTAATGTTTTAATTTAGTTTTCGTTATTGATAACATTTAAAGCCTCGCTGTGGCAACAATCTCCTATATTTTACATAATCAGATAAAGGATCAAAGGATCCAATGAGGTATTGTTTATTGTATTTGCTTCGGGTTGACACTTGTGGGTGATGTGTGGTCTCTCAGGACTCAAAGGTGTGGTCGTTGAGGATTCCCCGCCCCCTGTCGCTTGTTACAAACACAATTTATATTCATTTATTCATGTCAGGCATTTCGAATGATTAATCAAAACAACAGCTTTAACTTGTATGGTTGCAGAAGAAACCTTAATAGTAAACAAAGAGTTTAAGAGACCCCTTTTCGTTCAAGTAAAGAACCCTATGGAGTGTAGTGCACTATGTAGTGATGCTGCCTTCTGCTGGAGCCGCACTGCTCCACCGGCCCGTGCAGAGATGGCGAGGAAACCCCGTGGACACGGCACTGCTTTTTCATGACGGTGAGTTTCCCCTTTGAGTGTATTATAATTTTGTGATAAAAATTTCAAGGAAAAAACACACACAACCTCCTTCCTCCCCTTCCTTCGGGGAGGGAAGAGCAAGCGTGGAGAGAGAAAAATCTATCTGAGACTGAGCAGCAAGGACAGTGAGGGAAAATATATGAGTAGGAGAGGGAGAAAGAGGAAGAAGAAGAAGGAGGAGGAGGAGGAGGAGGAGGGGGAGCAAATTAAAAGTTGCCAAATGGAGATATTGGGTTTCAAGAGGAGTGAGACAGGAGTAAGGGTTTGCCACTTATTCAAGTCGTCTTTATGTGATGCAAATTCAAATAAATAGTTATGCTTGGCCAACGATTTGTTCTCCGTTCGGTTTTTGCTCGACGAATTCAGCCGTTTCTTAATAACGTTAGGTGGGGGGAACGTCCACAACGTCAAGAAGGCCATCATCAACTGAGCACGAAGAACGCTTAGGACTCGCCAGATGATCCGCTTTTACCCCCTTCGTAAAACCTACGACATCCGTGCCGGTGTGAAACGAGCCGTCCGAGGCCGAATACGCGTTTCTTCGTGCCGCCTGTCCCCTGTCCCCTGTCCCGCTCGCGCTCCTCGGCTGTCACAGATGCGCAAATACGCTTTTAGAAGAGCATTTGCGAAAAAACGAGCCTCTCCAGCCTCGGTCTATTTATGGACAAAGTCCCTGTGTGTTTCTAGCAGTTCGTTTCAGCGAGATTAAGGCGGGTTTTGTGCGTCCTGCCCTTGCGCCATGGAGAGCCTTTTAGTCCTCCCTGCCACCGTGTGACAAGTGAATCAGTAAAATGCGTCGCCTTGCTTCGACAGGGTTTTACTGTGTATTTTGAGGGGTTGCTGGTTTTCTACGCGTCTCTTTTCCGCCCCTTTGACTTAACAGGCAAAGAGGATAGATAGGGTTTTTTTTCTGTTAGAGAGGAAGAAAAAAAAAATTCATCTCCTCCCTCATTTGGCTTGCTAACTTGACTACAGCCTAATCGAATACAAGTGTTAAAGATATATCTCACATTTAGTACATCGTTTAGTTTATAAAACCCGCATTTGCATGTATAAGAACGATTTAAAAATATATTTTGAAGTCGAGATGTAAAAGGGCCGGATTAATGTCATACTTTTTTTTCTTCGTCCAGATTGCACTACACGGATATTGCTAGTTTAGTCTTGCAAGTTAGAAAATGTTAAAAGTTTTGAATACAAATAGCATATAAGATCTTAATATTAAGCAGTTATATTTATTGACTAATCTTATCATTCGTTCGAATCCATTTATAACCTTTATAGACTGTTCGATCATTGAGTTTCTTTTTCAGTTTCTGTGCGTATGTTTTTAAATTATGAAATAAAGGCTAACATTCGCAATTTTGGATTTCTGCAAGCTCATTAAGCTGTTTTTAACAACATGTTGTTTGTTTCGAAACAATAGAGAAAATACATACACATCGGATGCTGTTCAAACATGTAATCACTTTGGAAAAACACAGACAACGAATTTCATTCCCTCACTAGCCTTAACCATAAAGTGTGTTATAAAACATTAACAGAAGCTTGTGAAGTGTGAGTGAACAATCAAACTAGCCAAACATGTTTCACCCATCCCCCACGTCGCTTCCTTTGTCACGTTTCCACACATGAATTTTCAAGTTGTTCACATTCTTATGGCAACTTTACAAAGAAATATGATCTGAAATTAAAGTCGAGTAGCATTATACCACTGCACAAGTACTTTGCGTCATAATGTCCTTAGTCTGTCGGCTGTAGCGAGCAGTGGCGCAGTTTCAATCACCAGCCGCCATTTTGAAGTCTCTAGGCTGCAGCAAAGAGTACAGCCATTCTTTCTGTCACACAATTGACTTAGGTATTTTTAAACATAGAAATCATATTCGCATTTAAATAAAAGTACCATGTATATTAGACAGTTTTACTGTTCAAACATTACTGTTTATGTTTTTGGTGACATATCAAACAGTTTATTACTGTTTAGTACACAGTAATAATTAGTAATGTGCTATTTTTTTGTTTTATATTTATTCTTCTTTGAAAATAGAATGATGTCAGAGGGTTCCCAAAATTCCCTTTGTGTGTTTACATTGTTATCATAGAGTTATTTCAAAAGCCTGACATTGCCCATAGTTTAGTTTGGCCTATTAATATATCAAATATATTATTGTACCTGAATTTAATATTATACATTAATTCGCAACCTATGCTTGAAATGACAAACTATGCCTGAGAATGTTCATTGACAAACTGGGGTTCCTGACAGATTACATAGTTTTGATTTTGTTTAGAACATTATACACGCTACATTTATTGGATCCTTCAGATGTAGCCTATTCAGAACAAATTCATATACAAATTATATCTTAGCGTAGTCAAAGTCAGGACTGGGTTCAAATTTAACGAACCTGTACTTTGCTGAGTCCATTGAAAAATCTCAAAATCTGTAATTACTGTGTCACAGGTGTCATGGATGATGAAGACGACCGCCGGCTTCTGGATTTTATAGGGTAAGCAGCATTACAATTGGATGAGTACACTTTAAAAAGAGTTTTTACCCATCAAACGTAACACATGTGTTTTCATGAACTGTTTTTTTTAACAGAGATGTGCAAGCATTGAATGAGTATCTTCATGGTTCAAATAGTAAATGTGTAAGTATGCTTAGACTATATGACATTTTTGTGTTTTATATTGAAATGTTATTGACAACTTGACTTTCAAACAGATTGGAGAAGATGATGTGACTAATGCAGCGTTTGGGTCGGCCAGTTCGTTCTTCACTAGTGACACAGTGAGTAAAGACAAGGTTCCTATCAAGGAAAGACAAGCTCATATCTACTGGAATGTGAAAATACTATAATCTCAAAAACTTATTTTCAAACACAGTTAAATAAAATATTTCAATATTTCCACAAATGTGGTTTCATATGTTCAAATAGGTATAGTTTGAATGCAACTGGGATATCTAGAATGGGTTTTAGAGCATCTAAACAACAAATTATTTGGTTTTCTACTCAGGGTGGCTCCAACGAAGGACTCAAAGATGACCACAATCATTTGGGAGAATTTGGGGAGGTTGGTGGAACTGAGCTTCAGCTCTCAAGCAGTCTTCCATTCATCGAGGATGACCTCGACAGTGGAACCTCACAAGACGAGGTCGATCTTGGGGGCGAGGACCAACCCTTCGACATACTTCAGAAGTCATTGCTGGAAGCAGATATTACAGAGCAGACATTGGCTCAAGAAGCCCTTTTGGACTCCCAGCCCTCTCTCATTCCCACAGCTTCCGCTTTCCCTCAGCAGCTGGTCTCTGGAGGGTTTGAAGGTATCCCAGGTCCTGGTGTGGTGGCACCATTGGCACAACCTCAGGCTTTTATCCAGCAGGTTCCCCAACTACCCTTGCCAAACGGCCCTGCTGGACACATCCAGGTAGTGGGATCCTTCAATGGCAGTGCCTCCTCCATGATGACTATCAACAGTTTGGAACAGCCTCAAATCCTTTTGAGGCAGAGTGGAAATGTAGTGACAAACAACAGCGGACAAGGTACCATGTTCACCCCTTCTGCAGCTGGTCAGGTGTCAATGTCCTTCAATAAAGGGACGATACCAGTTCAGAATATTATCATCCAGAGAGGCCCTATGCAACAGACATTGATTAGACCCATTCAGCCTAAACCCTTACAGACAGGGGGACAAACTGTATACAGTATCAGCAACATCGGGCTTCAACCCAGCACCACAACTACTGCGAATATAGTCAGTAACCCATACACAGCCAGCGGCTCTCCTCAGTCTGCTCAGCAGGTGAAAGTGGTCAATCCAGCCAGCAGCATTGTAATGCATTCACCTCTGGGGCAGCAAGCGCAACCACAGTCCCAGTCCAATCTGCCTCAAGGGCAGTTTTTGCTACCCACTTCTATTTCCCTCACCCCTGGTACGACTGTTCACGGCTTCCAGGCTGTGAATGGGCAGGTGTTAGGTAGAAAAATAGTCATAAAATAATAAATTACATAGCCTGAGATGGCATGGCACAATACAATTTTTTGTCATTTTAAGGTGTCTCCATTTCATGGATATTTAAAAAAACTTGATTAAACTGGAAAAGGCACCGATTTCTTGGAATGACCCATATCAGTTTTGTTATGCAAAGTAGCACATGCATAATTATATACAATTGCCAAAGCCTTAGAGAACATATATAAATTACATATATAAAAATATGTAAAAATTACATTTCAGTAATAAAAAAAAAAAGCGTGAAGAGAGTGTGAAGATGGTACTGAAAATTTTGAACAGTTAGATATACAGTATAAATGTTTTGGTTACTTTTCATAATAATTGGTGTAATTTCTGGAATGTTTTGAAGATATTGTACTGTATTTACACGTAAATGCAACCAAAATGCAATTGCTTTTTGCTTGATTGGCTTTATGTTTGTGATGTTTCGCTACATCGCTCTCTCAGATGGATTCCTGGAAGACTTCTGCTGTGGCCCTAAACTGAAGATCCGAAGTACAGAAGTTTTGACGCCCGCCACCCATGAGGGCAATCCCAGCGTAATGGAGACATCCCCAAGGCATTCCATAAGTCACACCGGAAGAGATGGGCAGGGTATGAACAGCCACACAGAACCTGCTTATAGGACAGAACCTCAACAACAAGGAATGGAGGAACACAGAAGAACTCCCATCAAGTGCATCCTGGACCTAAAAAAAAAGAAATTCAACAACCTAATCAGCAGCAACAGTCAACATGCTCACTACCCTACATCTCCCAGCCAATCACAGCATAGCTCCGCCCAAGGCTACCCTTCGAACCTGGGGCAGGGTCATGAACATCAACTTCCCTCAGATCATAGTCACACCCCATTGGCTGACTCTGTGCTTGAGGCTGCCGTGAATAGCATCTTAGAATGTTAGACAGTGCCATATTTATGTTTGTTAGTTGTTCCATGTTAATCTCATTTCATGCCATTTGTGTGCAAGCTGAACGGACGTACATTGGCATTATCGCGGGTTAAAATGCACACAGCGGCTGTGACGATGTCGAGGAACAGGAAGGTGAATCTGGTGATGGTGATACTCTAATACTGTGCCTGTTGTTCTAGAGAAGTTTACATAAGAAAGCCTTTTTGACAATGCTTCACAGGATACACTTGCAACCACACACACACACGCACATCAATATATGCACACATACACACACAATCAAGCAGTAAGTGTGATGTTTGAAATGTCATGAGTAGACATTGATATTTGTAGCTTATTGGTCAATATCAGACACTTAGACAAATAGTCAGTCCGCACTTAAGGTTGTATGGTTGTCTCAACACTTATGTTGTGTCAGTGCAGTAGACATTGAAACAAGTGACGCACACGAACACACCTGCACATTTAATTGTTTTTGAGCATTGGTTGTGCTCTTTTTTTCTTTTTTGGTTTACTTTTTTTCTGTACCTTACAGGTATGTGACCCCTCCACAGAGACAAAACTCACTTGTGTGGTTTTGTGCAGGGGAAAGTTAAGACCTCAGATTGAGGGTACAATGTTACATTGTTTATCTTTTTTGTTTGTTTTAATTCATTTTTTTTAAATGATGCATTATTATTATTATTTATTTATTTTTTAAAATCTGTACTGCTCCCTGCCTGGAGAAAATATGTGCCGTTTTGTACCTTAAGTCTCAATAACTCGCATAGGTGAATCTCATAAAAACTTGCAGTCACATTTTGACCCAAAATGAAAGGAAATAAAAATAAGTAATATTTTGCAAAAAGAAATTAAAACCATTTTAGGATCAGTAATATGTATTTTTGCATTGTGATATTTTTAACGTCAATCAAGCACATTTTACCACACATTTTGATTGCTGCATTTACATCATCAAATTCATATTGCATATTTTGAAAAAAAAATCTCAAAATCTTTTTTGTTTTTTAATAAAGTATGGGTTATATTTAAATAAGCATGAATTAAAGGCTGTGCAACAATACTGTTATGTATTAGTACATTATAATTGATTTTTTTTTTCTCACATTAACATATATCGCTTCTTTATTTATAATGAAAATATATGTTTTGTTGCATTAATGAAAATTGGTTCTAAATGTGCTTAATAGTCATGAAACAATGTCAGTGGTCAACAAAATCTCAGAGGTCCACAATAGGCTTGATTTCTCTGAGCAAATATAATGTCTCATTTCTTTCCTTTGATTTGAGATTTCTGTGAGATTCACCCACCTAGATGTTGTTTGAAACTTTTCATTTCCCCCTGTGCATCGAGATCCCTGCTGGTCAGGCTGTAGTCTTGGTGGTCGGTTTGCAGTTTTTGCCCCTAGTGGCAGCTTCTATTTGCACATGTGGAAATGACCTTGTACTTCACAGATAGCCATGCTCACAGCTCTTACAGCCCCTTTGCAGATCTCTTCTCTCCTATGAGTTCTAAAGTTGTGAAAGCAGCAGTAGTGCAGTTACAGCATATCAGGTTTTCACTCACTATGATTATTCTAATTAGTTGCATTAGGAGATGGCTGTTAACTGAAATAATGTAGTTTGGTTGGAGTAGGACTGGCCCACATTTTAACAACCAGTTTTGAGAAATCATTTCTGAAGAGGAGACTTTTAGCATTCAGTTGTATTTTGTAGGTTAGAAAATGGTGTAACTGTGCCATTACAAGGCTTGTGAGCTTTAACAATGGGACTACGACCAAGACAATGTCAAAAACTGACCAGAGTAGAGAAACTGCAGTGTGCGGACATTTTCACAAGTCTGCGTTTCCATTAGCATCCATTCCAAAGCCAAAGGGAAGGTTGCTTGTTTCCATCTATACACGTCATCCCATTGTTTTTGCATCATTAACACTAAACTCCACCGTCTTTCCCAGCAATTCAACCAAAAATGACAGGCAGACAGAAAAAAAGAGAAATATTCTTCTCTCTGATCTGAGCTCTTGTGGTTGGTATTAGAGAGCATTCCGAAAGACCTTCACTTCGAAGGGCTTCTTTGCCTTAGGAGAGAGTGAGTGAAAACAAGTTTAAATAGTCTATCATTTGTTTTTACTGCTTTTTGTTGTGTGAGTGTGGCCTTCAGTTATCGTAATACCCCATGGTAAAAGTTGCTTTTATCGTTTTATTTTCTGCATCACCCAAAACTTGATTTGTAGTGTTTGTATTACAAAAACTAAAAACATGAAACACAAAATATTTATACTTTTTGTAAAGAAAAAGAATCAATATTTTGTAATGTCTTCATTTTTTATGAATTATGGATATTTATATGTAATAATACAGGTGCATCTCAATAAATTAGAATGTCGTGGAAAAGTTCATTTATTTCAGTCAGTTGTTCTGCCTAATATTTTTGTGGAAACCATGGTACATTTTTACAAGATTCTTTTACGAATCTAAGTGTCAAAACAGCAACATTTATTTGAAATAGAAATTGTTTACTGTGAAAAAACGTAATGACCCCAAACCTGTAACCGGTAGTGTACATAGATCAAACAACATGGAGGAGGAATAATGGACTGATGTTGGTGAGAAAGCCGCCGGTATTCTGGCAGCATGGGAGAACTAAGGCAGGGTTAATGGGTTTTACCTCAGCTGGTTCTGTGGGGTTCTTCAGCACCTGTCATCTGACTTATCTGAAAAAGGACCATGCTGTAGGAGATGCAGAAACAGCTCTTTATTGTTCTATAGCAGGATTCTTCACATAGCACTCTCTCTCTCACATGACCTTTCCCTGGTCATTCTCAATTACCCCCACCAAACCCACCGCACACTTTAGGGGTTCTGTTATATGTTCTATATATTATAAGTCTTTGAGGGCTGCTTTATCTCTTTGTCTCTAAAATCGGGGTTATTTTAAGGTTGATAATGACTAATTGCAGACATGGAGACGCCGGCAGAAATGTGATTGAATGTCTCCATGTTGTAGGTTGGCAGGTGACCCATTTCCCAAGAATATTTAATTGGGTCTTTTAGACTGATTACAGCCAATGACTCTTTAAAGGGATAGTTCACCCAAAAATGAAAATTCTGTCATTAATTACTCACCCTCATGTTGTTCCAAACCTGTAAGACGGAACACAAATTAAGATATTTTTGATGTATTCTGACATCTCTGACCCTCCCATAGACAGCAAGGGTACTACCACGATCAACGTCCAGAAACGTAGCAAGGAGATCGGTAAAATAGTTAGCAAATTAAAGGATGATCATGTAAACAACAATAAAATATGACAGGACTTACAAAAAAACAAACAGTGTAGAACAATATTCTATAATTTATTAGATCTTAGTTAAAGGGATAGTTCACCCAAAAATGAAAATTCGGTCATTAATTACTCACCCTCATGTCGTTCCAAACCCGTAAGACCTCCGTTCATCTTCGGAACACAAATTAAGATATTTTTGATGGTCAGCCGCACTACACGGATAAGTTTTCTACATTATTTGTGCTTTGATTTGAACAAAAACAACGTATCCATGTGACGCAGCTGACACAGAACAGCATACGCTGTTTGCATTCAGTGGATACTCTCCAAAATGGCGCTA